GTTCTGAAAGCTTTATGAAAACTACTTTTGATACTTGTAATCCTTCCTAACACTCCACTGTAGAATACTGAATTGCAGCAGACTGCGGTCGGAGGCCGGGGGGGGGACCACACGGTTCATTTAGAGCCACCTTTTTGCTATGCACCCTCTGGCAGAATGGCCACAGCGGTGACAGGTAGGCCGCTTTCTGCAGTCTGTCTGGAAACAAGCCAGATATCCTAAAGATGCCTTCTGGTGCCTTTGAAGGCACAGCCGTAGCTATTTGAAGATAGCTTTTGGTCTGGCTCTATTGTAATAGCTTCATCGTCCTCTCCTGCGCAGGTCTGTAAAGGATGGGAGAGGAGTGTAAGCATCAGGTAATTCTTAAGCGCTTGCAGATAGGTTAGAAAAATCGAAGCCTAGAGAAGGATGTTGACATGTCTGAGCGTGCTGATGATCGCTAGCCTACAGAAGGGATCTGTGATTTTCTGCGAAGAACCCAGATATTCAGTCACTGCAGCCTCTGCTTGGGCTATGACATTAAAGTCTTGCTGGATTTTTATGAGCATGACAATACAAAATGCTTAAATCAAAGAGGGGAAAAAACCTCAAAACTCTGCTGTGAAATCTGTTTGCATATGTAGACTTCAGAGGAACTGGAAGATGTTCAGAGGAGGATACAAAGACAAAGCAAATTAAGAAAGAAATGCTCTAAATGTGTTTTGCATGGTCTTGGTACAATGAGTTTGTTAATGCCTGGACTGTCATTCTTGGTCGTGAGGAAGGGAAAGACCAGGGACTTGGCTGAAGTAGAACCATAAGGCATTTCTAAAGAAAACAAACTTGTGTTCTTTAATATAGTGAGCTGAAAATCTCTGGGAGCTGTTGCTTCCTAGCACATATGACATATTGGGTGGAAGACAAGTCTCTTTTTGAAATACCAAGTGGAACCAGCTCGGGGGTTGGAAGCCTCTTAGCCTGCTGCTTGCTTGGGTAGATCAGCCTGGTCCATCTCTTGTGTTCTTAACCCACTGTGAAAGTGGAGGTGGGGTGTTAGGTAAGATGTGCCTTTGATTTTGATCCCATGTGGCAATTAAGGTACTTTGCTGGGTAATAATGCTTTCCTTTTTACAAGCTATCAATTTCTTGCTGTCTACTCTGTATTGGCCAATCAGTACAAATTTTTTTTTCCTTCCTGTGGGAATTTTCTCATGTTCCTCTCTTGCTCATTGTAGCCTCTCATAAATATTATTTTCTCTTTTGTGGAATCTCTTCCTGATTTTGTAATTCTGCTTATTTTATATTTTTTTTATGATTTTTCTCTTTTTGCTATCATCTCTGTGCTGCAGAAGACCTTCTTGGGCTTATGTCAGGTTTGGACTTGATAGTATATTTATATCTATCAGTGGTGTGAAGAGAAGTGCTGGTTGTTTATTTTCTTAAACTGGCAGAATGTTGCTGGTGAAAGCTCTACCTAGGTAAAGAGTGTTATTTAATATAGTATATATACAGTAATACGTGTCTACTTACTTATATTGACTTTGCAAATGCATGTTGGACCTCACGATGGTTTGGATGAGTCAGGAATATAATATATCACAATATAATCACTAGCTCTGCTGGAGTAAAAAAATCTGTTTCACGGCGGAAACTTTGAAACATGTAAATGTTTAAATTTTTCAGTGTACTTTGGGAATGTAGGGAAGAATTACCATTAGCATTTTAAATCTTGGAGTTTTTGAAGGAGGAGAAAAAAGTCTGGAAGACGGGCAAGGAAGAATCTGGAAGTTAAAGCTGTATTTTACAGGATCCAAGTTTTCCATTCCTGTGAAAGGATTTGTGAACTGACACATGAGGAAACAAGCCCTGCTTCTGGGAGGATTCCTGAGAATAAATACCCTGGGAAATCTGCAGTGCTGTAACTAAGTTGTATGCATAAGGAACATCCACTTTTAATGGGTTGGCAATTAGTGGCACTGGAAATAATGTGAGATGGAGCAATGGTTATGGCTGATAGAGGCACAGCCTGAATTATGTGAAGATGACAAATGGGTAACTTTTCTGATCTCTAAGTTTCATCTTTTTATTCTCCTTCTGAAAAACCTGGCTTTTGAACATTCTGGGGTGTGTGATGTGTGTGTGCTGTTGCTGGTGATGGGTTTTTTGGTGTTTCGATGTATTCCAACTTGAGTAAAAAGAGATTCTTGATTAGGCAAAGTGATTTACTCCAGCTGATGTCAAAGCATTTGATAAAGGACAAATATTCCAAGTATTCTGCAGTTGAGTTATTTTTCATGGGTGAGCTTCGGAAGTTCGGTGAGTAGGATTTTAATTAAAGTTTTGAAACAGGAGAGTCAAGAGTTTAAATATCTAGCCTTGCAATCCTGTCCCTCCTTCCAAAACAAGGTTTTTCAAATATGACTCTACTGATGTCTCATGTTTTTCAGGCCTCTGCTCTCTGCTCAAATGATGTTGTTCCAAATGCTAAATGACATCCCTCTTCGAGGGAACAATAGTGAAACAACTTCATGTGTGGCTGAAGAGGTTTTTTCCAGTGGAAGATACTTATTTTATCTAAATGACTTAAGATGTACTTCAGTTATTGAATCTGAATAGTATAAACTCAAACTTTAGTTTTACAGGAATACAGACTTTGCAAGCAGTCTTAACTCTATTCTCTTGTGGTCATGATGAACTTAATGTAGTACAGAGGCTTCAAATGCCTTTCCAAAACCAAAATAAGTATTGTATGTAAATATTAGCTGGGAGTGGGTTGGAGAGGAGTCTGCATATTGTGAAGTGCAGACTAAAGAGAGGTTCAGTGCTGGTTGAGAAATTAGGGGGAGGCAGTGGTATATTTCAGTGGAAAGAAAAAAAGGGTCTTTTTATTTGTTATTTTCCTTGTTATTCTTAATGCTGGGCATCCAGCCATCTCTGAACCCCTCTCAAACTAGGATGTGGTGGTCCTGATCAGAACATAAGTTTGATAGCTTGAAGACTACGCAATATAATATGATTGTGCTCAACACACGGGGAAGGGAGGAAGGAGGATTGGCTATAGTAGTTCAGGATGGGTCTGGAGTGGAGCTTTAGTGCATGGTTTGTGGATTTTTAGGGAAGCTTGGGACTTAACTGGAATACATGACTTTGGCTACGTAAAGGAAATGGTCTTTGATTTGGTGCAGTTTTGCCAAGTGTTCTCCTTCATAGTCATGTTTTTTTATGCAGATACATTGAACAAAACAGATGCGAATGACTTTGTACTCATGCTTCTGTAAGCTCTTGCCAGCTCCAGAGCAGCAGTTAGGGTTATTTTGGCATTGTAGTTCAACCCTTTACTACATTGCTTTCAGCATTACTTAGGATTCTCAAGTGGTGTGTAACTTCTGTATTACTAATGCTTTCTACCAAAAGCTTCTGGTACTCTACTAGGACAGAACTGAAATCAGTGGCTTGCTGAACTCTGACAGTTTAGTGTATGATGTTTGAGCTGCTGTGTTGTTCTGAAGAAGCAGGAGTAACTTATTTTATATAAACCTATTTTATATGTGAGAGTGCGTAGGTGTTAGAAACCTATGTAGAAGGGGGAACATGTTCCAGTGTTGTTTACTTGACTACTTGACTCTTCTGGTTACACATCTTCCTTCTTGAGTGAAAACAGAGCACACACCAGGGAGATGAGGTTGAGGTAGATAGTTGAGACGACGATTGTCATCGGATTGTTGGTGTACTCTTATGTGTTTGGTAAAGATCAAGAGACATTTGTTTGGACTAGGAACTAAAGAGAACTCTGCACTGGTGAGGCCACACCTGGAGTATTGTGTCCAGTTTTGGGCACCTCAATATGATGGAGGTATCAAGGTGCTGGAGCAAGTGCAGAAGAGGGCAACAAAGCTGGTGAAGGGCCTGGAGAATAAATCCTGTAACGATCAGTTGAAGGAACTGGGACTGTTCAGTTTGAGGAAGAGAAGGTTAAGGGGAGACCTCATCACTCTCTACAACTACTTGAAAGGACATTGTAGAAAGGTTGGTGCTAGTCTCTTCTCACAAATAATTAATGATAGAATAAGAGGGAATGGCTTTAAACTGCAACAGGGCAGGTTCAGACTGGACGTTAGGAAAAAATGTTTCACAGAAAGAGTGGTCAGACAGTGGAATAGGCTGCCCAGGTTGGTGGTGGAGTCACTGATGTGTGTAAGGGTCGTTTAGATGACATGTTAGATAATGGTGTAGGGGAGAACTTTGTAGAGTAGGGCTGATGGTTGAACTTGATGATCCCAAGGGTCTTTTCCAACCTGAATGATTCTGTTAAAAAAACAAAACAAAACAACAACAAAAAAACCCCCACCCCAAAACATTCAGTGATAATTGTGGCAATATTAGTAGGGTGCCTATGCTTAAATATATCTAAGGACTGACCTAAAAGATTCTTACCAAAGTGTTCAAACTCTGGGAGCTTTCTGGCATTTCTAATGAGGACAAAAAGTAGAGTATGTCTGCAGTTGGCTTCTGGATGACAGAAAATAATATTTGTTATCTGTGGGCATGAATGGAAATAAATATGATAGTTTGGGATGCCTGGAATCAAGATCCCTGTACTACTTTTTCCTTATCAGGAGAGTGCTGGTTTCCTTTTGCAAGACTTGCAGTACTATCACTAAAACTGACCTTGGCGCTCTGGTGGGAAATATACCTTCATCTTCAGAGTTGCAAATTTGTCCTCCTTTTCAGGTATCATGAGGATCTGCCAGCTCTCGCTGCTTTATTTGGATGATAATGTTAAAAAACCCCAAAGCATGTACCAAATTTCAAGTCTACCCAATTCCACTGAAGCATCAATCAAACCTAGAAAAGAAAACAGGTTTACTCTAGCAGAGTAAGTGTGGTTAGTTATTGCAGAATTAGAATGTTATAGAAGGGTAAAGCCAACAAAACATGCTCTCAGTAGATATGTGTGTGTGACACCGAGTTCCTTTATAAATGCGATTTGAGGTTTCTTGAGTTGTGTTGCAGTTGAAGAAGCTGATGGAATGACTCAACAGCATTTCAGTCCTTGAGCAGTGTGTTTGAGAAGTCTAAAATTAGTGAGGAAAGAGTTAAAGCCCTTAGTCTTACAGGCTGCTCAGGGCAACTGTTTCTCTGAGACTGCTCTTGTTCCTTTTGCAATAGAGGATTGCAATTCTTTTTCTTCCTCTCCTGTCTTGTGACCTTCAAGGCTGTCATGTTTAGTTGCATGTATTTTTAATGGCAGGTTCATCACCAATTCTTTAAAACTGTTAAAATGCTTTTAATGGGCATTTATTTAAAAATGTATGGCATACTTCTGTTAGTTCTAAAACTGGAAGGTGTCACAGTGTCTAGGAGCCATTGCACAGAAGTATCCTGCCTTCCATTTCAGGAAAATGACTGGTTGGTAGTTGAACATGCTAGTGACAAAACAGAGAAGGGCATTACTGAGTGTTGAGGAGTTTTTAAATACTTTGTTAGAAATCATATGGAGAGCTAGATAGCTGGATTAAACTGGTTTAGGATTTTGGGACTGAGGAGGAAGCCTTTATTGACTGAAAAGTACAGGCTGTCTTTAACCTTGAAACTTTCTGTTCTTCCTCAAGCCTGAATGAAACCACATAAATTTTTCAAGTGCTCCTTTACTGTTCACTAGCCATCCTTAGGCACCCCTCCTGTTATTTGTAGCTCTCACAGTTAATTAAGGACATAGGACCTAATCTCCTGATTTAGGTATGTGGATAACAGCTCTCAGTGATGTGAGATAAATTTCTACCTTCATACTTTCTTTTCTTGTTAACTCCCTGGGGGGTTGTGCAAAGTCAGAAAGCAAGGAGTTTCACATACTTGCTTCCCTGAGATTCATGAGTCTCTGGTAATGCTTCCATGCTGGTTCAGAGAGGAGAATAATATTAATTAACCAATTCTTAGTATGCTTGGACTTGCAGTATCATGTGGATCAGCAGATTGTTGGTGACTAGAACTAACTAATGGAGCGTAGTTGCTTGTGGATTTGTCCTGTTTGTTTTCAGCTTTGTTGCTTTGTGTCTCCTAATGCACCCACCGGGCAAGACAACATGTGAGTGCTGCTGGCGATCTGAGTGGGGTGCCCAATGGGAGGCACAAGTTGGGCCTTTACCCAGCAGCATCTTTTTCTCTGTCTCTCCACACCATCCACAAAACTTCCAGAAGCACAGCCCTATTTGGAAAATCTGCTCTTAAGCTGGGTCTGGATCTGACAGATGGGTATAACAGTGCTTACAGTAGGTGACCAGAAGTGGGATGATTGTGTGAGGTGGGGCTGAAAAAGGGTAGCTGGCGTTGAGTCTTATTCAACTAATCACTGGAACCGTCAGTCATCCACAGCAGACCATCTGCACCTTACGGAGGGAGGAGCTGCTGTGTACAGAAGTGAAACTTCTCCAGATTCCCTTTGGCGTGGTAGTGGAGTGGCCAGGTCAACAAGGTGTCACAACCAGACTGTCTCAACTAAAGGAGTTTGTTTTAAATATTTCAGAAAAATAACTGAAGGTAGAGAGGTGGGTGAGTCTGGTATGTTGTTTGGAGTCTTGAAAATCCCCGCTTGATGTAATGTTATAAATTAGGCAACCATGTTTTTTGACATAACGTCTTAGTAGTGAATCTAACACAGCTAGGAGGGAAAGGTCTTTAAGTCTTCAGTAGGAGGTCTTGTTACAGGTAGGTAACCTTGTGAATCTAAAAAGGTAGCTGTGACATTACAGCTTTAACTTTTCGGCTGGGAAAGACCTTTCTTCTTCCTCTACTTTCTCTCTGAATCAAACTTAGTTTCACTTTTTCTCAGAGGTAGGAGTGCAAAGAAAGCTATGAAGCCATGACTTACTAAGGGTGTATGGCAGCGTTGGTACACACAAAATGAGAACTATTCAAATAAAAATAGCATAGACCAGTGAAAAGGTGACATTTTTAACAAGAATATTTGTTTATAATTTATTTTGTAATACTTAAGTTAGATGTTTCTGAGACAATACTGGAGATGCTTCTGGACAAAATGGAATAAAACTCTAGTCACAGAGGATCTTTGGCTTCTGCTAGTCGGTCTTGGCAGTAATGTTTCATTTTTGGTGGCAGTACAGTGCTTAATAGGGAGATTTTTTGAATTAGGTGCTTTTTCATATGGATCAAGTGCTTTTGAGTTCTAATATGATAGTAAAATCTTTTGTTTCTGTGCTCCCAAAAGAGTCACTGAGTATTTCTTAACAAGTCCTTGTTGTGAGTTCTCATTAAGTTTGGAATGTTTAGTATTGATGAATCTTTAAGTATTACAGTATTTCATAAGAGAGCTTTTATAAAGGGTTCTTTTCTAGTAAACTTGATAAGTCTGCTATGCCTGAAGAAACATTCAGGGGCTTTCCTGCAACCTTGCTCGCTGATCTTAACTGAAGGGGCCCAAATTACCCTCAAACCAGAATACCTAAATTTTTAGTGTGATAACTTTTCTCTTTTTTCCCCTCCAACAGGAACAGGAAATACAGTGGTGATAATGGTCGGCTATCCAAAAGGAATAGAGATATTGGAGCCAGTACGAAGAGGGATTCCAGTAAAAATGACTATTGTTGTTGGCACACGACACGTGCAGGAATATATTAGTGGTCAGTCGGTTGTGTTTGTAGCCATCGCTTTCATCACCATGATGATTATATCGCTTGCTTGGCTCATATTTTACTATATACAACGTTTCCTGTATACAGGATCACAATTTGGAAACCAGGTAATTGGAGATTATGATACTTTAGAGTATTTACTGTCTTCTCATGTTGAATCAGTTGCCTAACTTTGCTTGTTTATTGAAGTATTCTTGAAGATCTGTGCCTTCTTGCTACTTCACTATCTGTGAATGCTACTCAGTTAGTGAAGCTAATAAGCAGTGTGCTAATTGGCATTGCAAGTTTGGCTAGTTATAATTATTAGATACTTGTATGAAGTTGTGGGAAATATATTTAGCCACCTGTCAACAACTGAGTAAAGGCAGCTTCTTGGGTGATTTGTCACCTAACTTCCTTCCGTTTGACATTAAAAAATGTGTTCATTCTTGGGTAATTTTCATCCTGAAAGTATTAACTTCCCTAACCAAACTTTGAATGGAAAGAGACCATGGTATGGTTTTTTTCTCTAAGACCCACAAGTAGCTAGGGCTAGAATTTTTGGTTCTGAAAGCTTTATGAAAACTACTTTTGATACTTGTAATCCTTCCTAACACTCCACTGTAGAATACTGAATTGCAGCAGACTAGAAGGAGCTTGTGTGGTGAGATTCAGCTCTCTTGGACTACCTGAAGTGCTGAGAGTGGTGGGAGTACCAGGAAGATCAGGAAGGAATAACTTTGCTCTTTGTTTGCATCTTCCACATTCCTGTTCTTTGATAGGTTAAAAAAAGTCAGCTTTACTTTTTTTTTTCCCCCTGAGGGAAGTACTTCATCATAGACTAATTTAGTTTGGAAGGGTCTTCAGGGGGCTGTGTGGTTCAAGCCCCCCACACTTGAGAGCAACTGGAGGTGTTGAGGACCTAGTCCAGCTGAGTTTTGAAGATATCTTAGGATGGCACTTCCCTGTGCTTTTCAACTCTTGCAGATAGGGCTGATGATGACTACGTAAGGAACCTAACCTACCATGGTTCTCTACTATGTGAAAGTTGCACTTGTTCTTTACAAGCAGTTGTTTCTTTTTTTTTCCCAGCCTCAGTTGAGAACAAAAAACCCCCCTGTTTCAAATGACTGCTTATCATGTGGATTTCCCCTGCCTTCTGATGGAACGTGCAGATTCTAGTTTTGTAGGAGGGGGAAGGGGGTTTTTGTATGCCCTTAGGAGTCTGATATATAAGTCCTCTGATAAGAACTTACAGGAATCTTCTAGGAAAATACTTAATATCTCAGTAGCTGAGGATAACATGTGGGACTTCTGTATTGGGTAAACTTGTTGTCTCCTTGAAACATTGGTTCCCTAGAGGTTTTTTTACTAATCTTTATGTCTTAGAACTTAGATTCTGAGAATACTTTCAAGAAAACAAAATTTTTGAGAAATACTTCTAGAAAAAGGGGGGTGTTTTTGTGTTGTAACAGTTGTTTGAAGAAGAAAATTGCTTCTTCCTGTTATGTTGGTTTTGGGATAGTTCATGCTGAGGGAAGTTCAAATGCTTTATAAGTAGTTTTAAGAGCCTTTTTTGGGTTGGATGTGTTGTTTACCAGGAATATATACCACAAACAATATATTTTGCCATTGGGCTTGTTAATTAAATGCTTCTTAAGTGAAATTGTGTAGCATTAGAAGGTTATGCCACTTTCCTTAATTATTCTTTGCTGCTGGTTGTCCATTTCTCAGAACTTTCATACTAATTCTTTTTAACACTATTAAAAAAAATCCCAATTTTCAATACTAGAAGTTTGTAAAATGATATAAATCCTTGTAATTATTACAGGGGAAAGCTACCATTACATTTTTATTATGGTATTTCATCAGCAAGGGTTGCTGCTAGACAGATCAACATCTGTTAATTGGGAGTGTTTAATTTCTCAATTTCTAGCAGTAGCTAGCATTCTGTATTGGAATACAGTACTGCTTTCTTTCCTTGCTTCCCCTCTAAGCATAATTAGGACTGTTACTGTATAGAAGTCCAGTATGGTTTCTCATGTCTGTTAAACCTTTCTTGTCATCTCCTTTGCATAATGTGTCCTTTCAGTGCAAAGCTTTGTATAGTGTGTGAGACAGTGTTTAACTGAAGGGAAGTATTAATAGCTACAAGCAGCCTTTTGACCTGGTGGCCAGCTGTAGGCTGCCCAGCAGGATTCCACCTTCTCTCAAGCTGCTGCAAAATGTACTCTGTGCTTGCTCATGGGCTTGCCTAACTAGAAGGTCTGGTTATGTGGCTGTTGTTTCAGCTCTGTTTGCCTCTAAAGCCTGCATTAGTGTCCATTTTCCTGTGCGGAAGGCCCTTAATGCAGGCAGTCATGATAACAAGGCTACATATGTCAACTTGGTCTGCATAGTTCTGCACCAGTTTTCATTGTAAGAGCAGTATGCTCATAGATAATGTTATGTTGCTGTTGTGCACTAAGAAGGTGAAACCTGAATTTCTCCAACATGTGCTGGTTGGAAGTATTTTGTAAACAAATTAGCTAGCCAAAGATTAATTTTTTAGATGCATTCAGAAGATTTAGTAATCCATATGGGAAGTATTTAAAAGCTTTGACATGTAACTCTTAAAACTGACTTGTGTACTAACACTTAAAATTTTTATTCAAGGGACATAGGAAAGAAACCAAGAAAGCAATCAGCCAGCTTCAGCTGCATACTGTGAAACGTGGAGAAAAGGTAATTTCTATGGCTCTGGTTATTGCTGTATGATTTAAAAAGTGTTGTAATGTCTTTATAGTATTTAAACTAAAATTCTCAAAACAGAATTGCAGTGTGACTTACAATATTAGGCTTATTTTAGAGCATCTTTCTTAAAAGGCAGAATTGAAAATTGAAGAGTCAAATTTGAACTACTTATGAATTGTAAGGCTGTTTTGTTGCAAACAATATTTGGTTATACAGAATGCTTCAGGAGACTACGGGGCTGATACTGGAAAGATGAGGAAATGGTATTGTCTTTTCAGCACTTGAAAGCATCAACAAGTGGATTGCAAAATACTTCCTAAGTCGTATTGATTGCACAGTTCTTACTGCTGATGTAATGTTTTGTTTTCTTAAAAGAACATCCATCTTATTGATCAGAAGGCCTTAGAAATCTAAAAAGCTTTGAAAAATGAAATACTTGTTTCATCTTTTGGCATACAATACATTAAGGAGCTGCATAGACTTATTTGAAGCATAAATTTTTTTTAAATACATTTCTATGTATTAAAGCTATTCTAAAAATTAAAACGGCTTTCAAGAAGTTAGCTTTGACAGCATACGGCCTAAACTCATAGCTGTATTAGAGTAATTGAAGTAGAAAAAGAGAAAATTTTCAAAGAAAATATTATTTTGAGTTTCAGGCAGCTCTGATCCTAGATGCTAAATTAGCTTCTGACTAGACTTCTGCTGCTGCAGAGGCATTTTTTTCCCCAACCCTTGTCTTATTTGATTAGTTTTTACTTAAAGACTGATTTGCTCCAAGATGAAAAACAAGGATTAGCTTTTTTTAAATCCATGAATAAAATTGAGGTGAAAAAGGACATTTATGTGTAAGAACTTTAAAAGTTGTGATTCAGCAGAAGCTGTTCAGAACAGGTCACATGCTACAGAGAATATGTCCTTCACTTGCTAAATCAGTTTTGAAATTAAAAAAGCAAACTGTCTTTGGACTTGCCTTGTTTTCTTATGCATTCAGCATGTTTACGTAGCATTTACAAGAATTTGTTAGTTTTTATTATATTCTAAATTCCATCAAAAAGTAATCTATTTCATGCTGTGAACAGAGGGATATTGATGCTTCTGTTCATGCAATGGTGAGATTGGAGATCAAGAAAGATTAAATTGAATCAGAACTTGTGTAAAACAGTATCAAAGCATAACATCAGCATAGGAAGAAATGGATTTAAGTGTCACGATGAAACCTGTGGTGAGAACTATGAGGAGGATGTCAACTGCTTTTAAGTTGATGTTCAGTAAACCTCTAAAAAGGGTTTGTATTGTGACATTTTTGCAGTGGATCAGGTAGTTTCTTCCCATTGATATATCCTTGACTAAAATACAATGGAATTTAAGATGTTATACATTATGCTGGTTATAACTGAGAATGCCATGTTAGTAAAGCAAAGTAGAATGAGATAAGGTTAACATTTCTCTCTTAAAATGGGTTTTTCTGCTTGGTAAATCATGTCTTCTAATTTGATTTGAATAAGCCTACTATCAGCAAGTTTATGTAATTTACTGATGCAGAGGTACTTTCATGAACTAAAGTAAATTTATCTAGAAATACAGTCCTGTCTATTCTGTTAGTGTAGATTTTGAAGTATTTCCTTTTAAAAGAGTGCCATTTAAAAGAGTGTATTTCTGTTATCGTGACACACTACAGCCTTTCATTATCACTTCACTTGGGGTTGAGGTATTTAACTAAAAATAGGTCAATATTTTAAAAGTGCATTTGCTGACATGTAGGTCTTTCCTGAGAAGCTTATGGGATTATTGTAAAATGGACACTCATTTGAGTATATGCTACATATGGTGTGCTTGGATTTTGCTTCTTGTATGGGATTAAAAATATTTGTTATAGAATAAGTACTTGTTTTAAATTTGCTTATGTAAAAAACAGTTTTAATTTGATTTACTGGAAAATTTAAGGTACTAAGTAAACTGATAGCATGCAAAGGTGGGGACATCTTGTGTTAAACTTGAAAGTTTGCTTGCAGTACTAATTCATTTGAGTGTTTGTGGTAATGAACTTGAAGTGCTTCAGTAAGTGGTAAAAAAACCCCAATTGTTTTGTGGGGGATGAAAGGGAAGAAGTTGGCCCACTGTCTGTTCCTCTAATACTTATGTTTTATACAACCTAATTAACACTGAATTATTTCGCTTTCATCTGGAGATATCCATCATATTTGCACTGCAACTATAAGCATGGCTTTAAGACAATAGTAGAACCCATTAGGAAAGATACTTAACCCTTACAAAGAAACAAATTGAGGTTGGGAAATACTGCATTTTGACAGTTTTCTCTGGTGTGAGCTGGGAGGGAAGCTTTAAAAACCATCCCAAATTGCATACTTTTTCTCCTCTGTTAGCTACCAAGGGATATCTGCTAGAATGTGGTAGAAAAAAAAAAGTGGGGAAGAAGGGGTTTGCTGTATTCAGCTATTCCTACTTAAGCATTTGGTAGTCTTTGGGACCATCAGTTAAGAATTAGATTGTGCGCTTTCATCTGTGCTGCCCTCTTCTAAAATTTCTTCATTTTATAGTTTTAAACTGAAATTTTACTGTGCTCTCATGAGCAAAGCCAGTGTTTGAGATTTAACAAATTATTTAAGGGACTGCTATTTAAACTAGAAAATCCAGGTTGGGCTGCTTTTAGTATTTGGTATCACTTCGTCAAATTGCCTCTTGCTGGAATCTTGAATTAAATGAGGGAGATATTTTTATTTGCTAAACCATATTATACTTTTTATAGTCTGTGAAGCTAGCTATTACACAAAGCTTGTTCTGTAATGAAATATAGATGTAATGCATTTAAATGTGTTGTCATATTTAGGGTTTAGATGTTGATGTGGAAAACTGTGCTGTGTGCATTGAGAACTATAAACTGAAAGACACTGTCCGAATTCTGCCATGCAAGTAAGTTGCCGTAATTATTGTTTTCTCTTTAGCATGTTTTCCCTGAAAAATGTGATGAGCTTTCTGTAAACTCTTCCAAAACTTTGGCGGCAGAGCTGAAGCTGTGCCATTTGTATGGTGTGTTACATGTTGAAGGGCAGTGGGAGACCTTGTAGCACTTCACATCTATGCAGAAAAAAGGAGCAATTGGGAGAGGTGTAGGAGTGAAGTAGAGCTTTTTTAAGTTAGAATTGTACACCGTTGAACTGGGAGCTCTGTGGTGTCCTTGTGCTTAGTAACATCTCATTTCAGGAAGGTAGCATGAAAGAAGATGGTTCCAGAACTATGTCTGTCCTAGTAAATTAAGCAGTACTTAATTGTCAGGGTTATAAATGAATGAGTTTATTTTTTAATGTAGTACCTTGCACATTGTTTGAAGGAATAGTGTGTAGCTTTCCTGATAAGTTCTAAAAGGCATTTCTCTTCTTCAGGCACATCTTTCATAGAACGTGCATTGACCCTTGGCTTTTGGACCACCGAACTTGTCCAATGTGTAAACTAGATGTTATCAAAGCTTTGGGATACTGGGTATGTTTCACACTTACTTTAATCTTCAAGGTAAAAGTACAGTGGAGGAGTCAAGGCTTTGTGTAACTGTTCAGAATGAGAGCAGTTGTTACTTGACAAGACTGAAGAAACTGGGAAAAGATGCAAGAGTAATTGAGAACCATAAAAATAAGGGAATTTAATGGGTAAGACCTTAAACAGTGTATCAAGCATCTTACAAATCTTCTGTGTTCTCTTCTGTGATAACCAATTTTTTTCTGCCTTCAGCTGATGATAGGAAGTTGAAGCAGAGGTGAGGCAATTTGCCCAAGCTGCAAAAATATAACTTCATTCAGTAGATCTAGAGCATATATTGGGTCTTGCTGAGAACTGCAGTTCAGAGGAAAAAATTACAGGTTTTCTATCTTGAGAATTTGTGTACTTCCACGTATGCCCAGTGTTTTACTCCTGTAAATGAGCTAGTACTTAGAACCTTCCTAAAGACATTCACCAGGAATTGGTTAAGTAGAGAAAATGATGTGCTCTCATTTCTTTCTGACAGCACCAGAAAAGAGAGATGAAGACACATGCGGTAGGTTACTTGGTCACTGTTGATAATTAGTCTTGAGTTCCACTAAAATGCCATAGGCATGAATATACCTCTTCTACTGATCTACAGAGATCTTCAGAAAATAGGGGTATTCCTTGGTTTCAGGTACCTTCCTTTCATAGACTAGGTCTGTGTTTTGAATAGCTTTTATTGCAGAGACTTAGCAGATCTATGGAAGGCTTTTGTGAATTACTTTTTTGTTTTGTCAAAGGTGACAATACTCATGCTGTGTAATACATAGAAGATTGCAGCACTTCTGTGTATTATCAGACTTGATACTCAAGAGTTGCAATTCTTCGTTATGCAAAATAGCTATTATTACTTTAATATTGTTATATTAGCAGCTTATTTTTTGCTCACTTTCAATTCTTGGAGTTGATGTAACTTGTGTTACATGCATCCTCCTGTATACTGGCTGAAAACTGAAATACTAGACCTTCAGAACACCTATTCCCTGAATTCATGCTGTTGCAGAGGATACTAATACCAAGCCTAATCAGGAGGAGTAACACCTCTTGTGCTTCTTAGGCAAAATGAATGTGGGAAAGCAGATTGAATGGGATTATGTTAAATACAGAAGCCTGGTTCTTTTATTTAACGGAATAACGGGGGAAATGTGTCCTGCTTATGCATCAATTGTTCAAGTCCCACTGAAGCTAATAATGTGGGAAATCATTCAGGTTTTTATTTCTAGCTTAGTTTTGAGCCTGATCCAGGTTGCCCAATCTAGTTTGTAGAGTGATTGTGTGCATTTAGTGATGTGAGGAAAAAAAGTGTGAAGAGCAAGGCAGCTTCTTTCAGCAGTGTACTTGCTGAGTGACATAACTGCAGAAAAGAATGTGCAGTCTTGTTATAGAAATCTACTAAACTGTCTGCAAAGAGGCTGAAGGCTCAACCAGTTTTATGGAGAACAGATACTTGAGATGCTTCAAAAATTTTAAAGGCTAAAAGTAGAAAGAAGGCACTGAGTCCTATCACCTGGATTTTCTTTTGTAAAGACTGGACTTCAGTGGTGTAGTTCTGCATTATGGTGTTTCTTAAGAGAAAAAGAACTTGCAGTTCTACATGTCTGACTGATTTAGTAGAGCATTGTTAAATCTTGCAGTTTTGGTGCTTAAACTGTCTAAGTTTTGGAAACCAAAATCCTGAATGCCCCCTGCCCACACATGCAGAGATTGTTATCACATGTGTCTTAACATGTGCTCAATTGTACCAGTTCTATAGCTTATTAAAAAGTACATTTTAAAATAAGCTTCTTTGGTGCTAAGGAAAGAATCAGCCTAGAATTTCCTAAATCTTAAGATGGGCCTTTGCTAATTGTTTGAGGAGAGGAAAAATACTCATTATGAAGCCCACAGAATAGCTACTTGTACTGCAGTATACTTGCTTACGTATAAATAACGTCAGTATCAATGGCAGTGGCTTAGTGAAGGTAGTCTGTTTAATTTTAGGAACAGAATTGTGCATATAGGACTTGGAATTAACTTGCAGAATGGATCAGAAATAGCTCATGTTATACAATAGGTGAAATAAATTTCTTTGCCTGTGCTGCAGATGTTTTGTTCCTGCAAAGTGACAAGCCATCACATTTGCAATTTTGGAACAGACTTAAAGTTAGGCTGGAGGTAGAGTAGGAGGGAAACTTGTTCTGATGTCAAATCTTTGCTCACCCCAGTAAAAGAAGTCTAAGCTTGTCCAAATGCTATCATGAAAAACAGAGGCTTCCACAAAATCATAAAGGATCTGAAAAACAGAGGCTTCCACAAAATTATAAAGGATCAGTAGGTTTGCTCAGTAAAGAGTTTGTGTGAGCTGAGCCTGCTCCTAACCCCAGACTGCTGCGATACTGCTGCTACAGCACTGAAATACTCCATCCAAAAGGCTGGCTGCGTTGACTCTTCCTGTTGCTGCTCTTGGCTTTGGGGTGGTTTTTCTTTTGCTTGGCTTTGTTTCTTTGCAGTCAGACAATAATGTTGAAAGTAGACACTCCTCAACACCACTCATGAGTGCAGAGGTAATAGGCAAAAAAAGGTCTTTTTTCCAATAAGGTGAGGTCACAGAGTGATAACATGGAGGCATGTGGATGCCTAGTGGTAGACAAAAGTGTCAGTTAAATATATTTAATTTTGAAGGGGGACCCTGAAGATGTACTTGAAGTTCCAATCCCTGAATCACTAAGTGGCAGTGTTTCAGTTGGAAGTCTGAGTATTGCTCTACAAGATGACGACAGAAATGAAGTAAGCGAATTGTCAGCTTCCTCCACCAATGAATCTGTATTGCAATGTACCAGTTTAAAAGAGGACGCGGGTGAAACCACAGCATTACTTGGTAAGTAACAATTTATCACTTGACAATCCTTAACACCATTCATTGCATTTGAAGAAACCATTCTCTTAACTCATAGGTATATATGAATATGAAATTTGTTGCCAGAGTTTGGATTAATGTAACAGAACATATTAAAATGGTACATGAATAAACAGTTTTTCTTCTAATTCCTGACTTCTAGATGTGGATATCAGTAATAATCGGCATGGAGAACATCTATCTAATGGAAATTCCCACTGAACTGCTTCATGGAAGATATCTTGAATAGACTGTTGAAGAACTATTATTTTTTATTTAATTAGTATGGACTTTTGTCTAGTTAATGGAAAAAATAACAATGTAAATTATTTTACCTTTCAAACTTTTCTAGCTGGTGTTCCAAAAGGGCTAATAATTAAGAATTTTGTACACAGGAGGATTTTATAAATCTCCTCTGGATGTCTCATCCTAAAAGAAGATGCAATAACCCTTTTTCTGTAAGCATTGTTACAATGTCATTGTGTTCCAGAGGGCTGTAACAAAGATGAAGACTAGGCAGTGAAAACAATGTAGAATGTCTAACAGATAAATATTTTGGATGCACTATTTACATTCAGTATGTACACATGGAGAACACTTACAAGACTGCAGCTATTAAAATATTCTGAAAGTTCTGACCTGTTGTAATTGGAGATGAATTCTTAGAAAAGATAATCTAACCTTGAAGGAATCAAATAACTTAATGGATAAGTTGCATATCCTCTTTTTGTAATAAAAAAATCACTACTTGCAACTTTCCTTACATGTAACAAATACTAATTTGATCTTGTAATGTGTTCTACTCGGAGTGGATGCTGAGAGAAAAGAGTTTCTCCATCTTGCTAGCTTTTCATACTGAATTTGGCAGTAATAGGTTGTGCTAGGTGGTCTTCACGTGCTGAGCATGTAGACTTATTTAGGTATATGCACACTGGTTACCTCTTTCAATCTTAAACTCAGTAGAACAGAGGTAAAGGGCTAATTACGGCTAAAATATATATTTATTAGTCTATTTATAAGAATTTACTTAATTCCTTCTTACTCCTGTTCCCATCCTGTCCCACTTCGTTATGTACAAATTGAAACTGTTTTTTAGGATCTACAAAGGTTGAGTTTTGGTTTTTCTTTTTTTCCCCTTTGCATAGAGATGCTGGAATTCTTCACTTAGATATTCCACATTAGGAGTTTTGACTGGGTTTGTCATTAGCTTCTATTCCTTTCTTTTAGATTAGCAGTAATGTGCCTTATAGTAAAACACTTAAGAAACCTGAAGCATCTGAGAGTAAATATAAACCCTGGCATCTCCCATTATGACCTCTTATTCAAATATTTATATACTGTAAGTGGTATAAGGAATTGCTAAACTGTTTTGTAAAGAAATATGTATATTTAAAACACTACTTAAGAGTGTTAAGTGAGTTGTTTAGGATTTTAGCATTGTCATGTTACAAATAATATGCTACATTCCTCAATTTTCTTTTGTAAAGCTGTTACTACAGATTGCTTAAAACAGTGTCTTGTACTAGACATTTGTTTTAGAGTGCGTTTTGTTTTTAAAATGTATATTTGGAATGTTTTTAAGAAAATATGCAATTCTTTTTCTAACTTATATTGAGCTTCAATAGAAGCAATAACTTTTTTTAATTTTAGAATGAATGTTCCAGAAATGATAGAGGTTTCAGCTGGGGAAATATAATCTGAACTTCTACGTTGCAGAGCAGATGTTTCACCCTAAATTTCCTTCAAAAAATTCCTATTTATGCCTACTTTATAAAACAAAAAAATCTGCCTCTTCCCTGTAGGAGTGTAACTTTTAAGTTTACTGGAAAATTGTCAGGTTGTAGTTCTGATGTCACCAGCAGGTGCAAGTTTTTGTGATGCCTTTATCTTACAAGAAGCACATGAGAATGGAATATGACTGACCAACCATCTCCAAAACTGAACAAATAAAAAAAAACAACCCACATCTGAACCAAACAACGTGTAGGGACATTTATGTCTCCAAAAGAAGCTTACCAACATTTCCAGAACTGCCTTTTTAACTATCTCTTCAATATTAAAAACTAAGTCTTCTCCCTCTTCCTTAACACAAAACTGAACATTGATATAGTAATTGTTGAGACGGTTTAAACTCTAGCTCAAGGAGGAACAAAAAGGCGTTGTCAAGAGAAGTCTTGTCAGTCTGTGGATTGTGTCTTGCTGATACCTGCAGCGCAGTATTCATGCTGGAGAGGAGAAATGTGGTAAGTACTTCAGCTTTTATGTAATACTGATAAAACCAAAAGATTTTCTTAAGAATTAACGTTGAGACCTGGCAGAAGGCTGGAAGAAAAGCTAAAGGACCTGCAAACTGAAAAGTGTGCTTATAAAAATTGGAAGTGTATGGACTTAGAAAAATATCCAAGTATGAAGATTCCTGGGGTAGGTTTCTAATGCTGGCACTATACCTCTTTCATTTCAACCTTTTACAAGAGTATTTGGTTTGTTCATAGTTCATAGCATAATTCATCTTTGATATGGTTGGGTCTTGTAAGGTCAGCTGTGCTGCTGAGGAATGATGACAAAAAAAGGCCGAATTGCAGTGCCTCCAGCAAGCAGTTTGCTCTCCTTGGAAGCACAATGACAAAAATTATCTGAAGCGAATCATTAGTCTGACCTCAGTCAGAAAGCTGATGCACATTAGCAAAAAGTTGATAAAAAGTACAGGACAGGAAAGAGACAATCTAGGGAGCTTAAAACAGTATCAAGAGAGGATTAGAAACATGAAGCATATGACCTACTGTGAAAGTTATGTATTGGATGAGCTGAGTAAACAGGTGTAGGCAGTGATTGGTAAGTACAGGTTCCCAGACTCTGTTGATCTGGACCTACTGTGCTGGATCAAACTGGTATTTCTAGTTTCTAGCACTTTACCTACCAGAAACTTACGTGAAGGTCAGAACTAATGAATGTGTTTTCCTCCACCATGGATGTTATTGCAGGATAGGTGCTTTGTGACTCCCTTCCCTACCATTTGGAGAATCTTTAAATTAGCCTCTTCTGCTTAGGCTATGCCCTGCCTAATGTGGGAGCTGAAGCTGTATGTGTTGTGGGTTCCTTCTGCCCCACCCTGATCTTTTTTTTCCTGCCTTTGTCAAATTTTGCTGTAATCAGGCAGAGGGTTTCTCATTAGAGGTGTTCATATGGTCTGACTATACAAAGCTAAAGCACAGTGCCCACAAGAATTGGACAGCCCCCCAATGGTGATGTGAATAAATCCAGGGGATGTTACTGTTGTAGAACAAGTTTGTTAGTATTGTGTTCATTAGTATGGCTTTGTTAGTTCTAGTGTTACTGTTAGGGAGAAAATTTTTTTAAAGTTCATGTGATTTTTAAAAAAGAGCTATGAACATGTCAAAATTGACTGGTGTTTAAAGCAACAGCTAGAGGCCACTCTGTTTAGAAATTTTAGTTTATTAATAATAGTCTGCAAATGCCAAATTGGAAAATAAATTTGATAGTAAATAACTGTTCAAACTAGCTTCAGCTTTCAGACTACAGCAAGCAAAAAGGAACTGTAGATGTTTCAGATCTAAATGCATGTTAATAGTGAGTTTACCTGCAGTATAAATTTAACTAGAAAATTTGGATTTTCTTTTAGTAATGACCGCTGGAATGGATTTTTCTTTGGCTCTAAGCAATGCTCGGAGAAGATTCTTTGCATGTACTAGAGGTTTGATTAGATAGCAGTAAACTCCTTCACCCTGCTGTTCACCCCCTTCCCTTTGAGTATGTGAATGTAGTCCAGTAACCTGTTGCCAGTAATTAGTGCTAAATTCTGGAGGTGTGCCAGAGGAGTTGTAGGATAATTTAACTACAGTGAGAATGCTTTTAATCTGTGCTGATTTAATACATTGGGCACTGGTATATTCCTGCCAAAGCTGGGCTGTTAATATTTTTGGAGTTCCGGTCCTGTGCCAGGGTGTAACCAGGACAGAGAAACACCATTGCAACAAACATGCAAATTATAATTTTTTTAATTGCTTCTTAATTCAGGAGTGGTCTTCCACGTTTTCTGCCTGGCCTGCTAAACTTTCAGTAAGACTAGCCAGTAGTTTGCAGAGAGGAGTGCAGCAAGTGTATAGCAACAGTTAACCCCTTGTCCTGTGGTTCATTGGATGTTGATCAAGGCAGAGGCGGTATGTACACTTGCAGGTTTTGATCAGCTTTGATCAGAAGGTGTTGGTTTTACATGATGATGGCAACAGATAGGACACAACAGGTTGGGCTGATTATTTAGCTGCCCCATAAAAGCAGACTTCTGTCTAGACAAGCAACTACTGCCAGCAATACCAACTGTACTTTGAAGTATACACCAGTAGATCGGCATTTTGAATTTGTGGAATTCAGTTGTTGCCACCAACACTTGGGATGTTGATGTGTAAAACTCTGAACTCTTACTCAACAGAGCCTTTAGCAGCCTGAATCAAGTCAGCAATGATGATACTGTGGCAACAGTTAGTGGTGTTGGGGTGGGTTTTTTTGGTTTTGAAGTGTGGGGTTTTTTTTTTTGCTTTGGGGTTTTTGTTGGTTTTTTTGTTTTTTTGAGGGGAGAGGTTGCATGCATAGTTTTCACTGGTTTGATTTTCAGGACTTGGCAGTGTTTCTGTGCTGGATGAAGATTGAGATAAGTAAGAACGTACTGACTCTGCAGCTCTGCAAAGGGAGCTGGAACTGAAATTTAGTAGGGGAGTCAGCTAGAAATATCCCATCAGGGTAACCTTGAGGAAATTAAGTTCTTAGTGTTGGCTATTGGGTGAATAATGTTGTGTTGGCAGCTTGACAAGAGACTCTTCTGCTCCCTATGTCTCCCTTCAGCCACCTGGCTGGGTGAGACTTTGCACAATGGCTTGGATCAATTTAATAGCTTGCTGTATGAAGGAGAGTGAGTGGTCCTCTCTGGTTTTCCTTTTCTGCTCTATTTACTCTGCTCTGTCTCACATTCAGATTAAGACTATGCAATGAAGTAATTCAACTTAAGTGGCAGAAAATTAAATTTATCAAAGCTGTATTTTGACAAGCTAGGAAACTGAATATCCTTACTATGCAATTAAATGAGGTTTAGAGCTGGCTAAGGCAATGAGGTGTTGGGGTGGAGGAGGGAAGAGCAAGACTTGCCCTTTGGGTAAGTTAAAGAGATGAAGCTTTATAACAGGACTGTAGTGGGTTACAATTCCTAAAATGGAAGATGGCAGCAGCTTTTTTTTTTTAAACCAGAATAGCAGTAAAAATTGTAATGTCTTCTGTCCTAGAGACTTCTCATTACTAGGTATGTTCTTTTCTCTCATAGGTGATACGTGAAGATTTGGGAATTGGAACTGTAGATTAAATATGCACAAATCAAGCTGAAGGCTTTTGGTTTTGTTCAGTATGGGTCCTGATTTCTCTCCTCAGATATCCTGCTGTATTGCAAAACTTGATTTGAGAAAGTTTTACAAGTAGAATGTCTCTATAATTGCATGTGTTTGTGTGAAGAATGCATTGCCTGGAAATTGTCCATTATACTTCCACTGGACCTGAAGCTACTTTTCACCATCTGAAACATGGTAATGATACTGCATTTTTAAATGAGCTTATCCTTCTTAATTCAGAAGTGAAATAATTTGAGTTTCCATCATTTTGTTAGTCTGAAGCTTAAGTCCAAAACTTTGAAGCCAGTTACTTCTATGATAAGTGTAACTGTAGAGAACCATTTGAACTTGCTAGTCTGTCAACAGCTGTTAACAATCAACTGTCTCTTATGGTAACCTTGTACTAAACTTGGTTGCATTGTTTGGATTAAGCACTGGGCTGTGTCTTTTCCATTGTGTATGTACAACTGTAAGAATGTCGTTATGCATTGTTGTTGTAACTTAATGGTTAAAAGCTCAAATTCCATAATAAATTATACAGACCTTTTAAAAAGCAATGTTTGAGAAGCATGAGCGTTTTGTTTTCTTTGCTACACTTGGGTAAATGGATGTGAGGCACTAGCCTAGCACAAAGCAAGCTTAACTTTGTGAGATTCTTTCAGTGTGTTGTGGTTTTTCCAGTGTAGCTGGTACCTGGGTGGGGTGGGTTAACCTTGCCTGGCAGCTAGATGTCCATTCTGCTCTCACTCTTCCCTTGTCCTGCTGAGGAGGGGGAAAGTAAGATGGAAAAACTCATTGGTGAAGAAAGTTACCGCTTACCATCACAGGCAAAACAGACTTGACTTGATGAAGATTAAAACTACTGCCATTTAAAAATGGAGTTAGTGAAAAACAGACAAAAAAACCAACCCTTTTTCCTACTTCTGACTCTTCCCTGTGAGTGGTAGCAGGGGGATGGGAAGGAAGGTTGTGTGTCAGTTAGAGACCTTTGGTCTCTGCTGTTCTCTCCTCACCCTTTTCCTGCTCCATCATGAGCTCCCTCCAGGAGCTACAGTTCTTCTTGAGGTTAGACTGCTCCAGGGTTATCCACAGGTGCCACCAGCCAGGCTCAGCTGTGCCTCCTTGTATGGGTTTGGTCTAGCACTGAGCACCCCTGGCCCTTCCTCTCAAACACCATCCTGCAGCCCCCCCTGCTACTCCACCCTTGCCATGTATGGATTTGGGAAAGTATAGCTCACCTTCCCCCCTAACAAGCAAACCATGCAGAAGCATACAGCACATTCAGTAACAAGTTTGAATACTTTCATCAATGCACAGGGCTTTAAAAGTAATATCAAGTACCTATAATAAACTGTTTCTTGATAGCTGCTAATTTTTGTAGTTACAGGACAAATCCAGGGCTTGGGGATTTATGTAAGTCAGTATAATTCAATCAAATACTGTGAAAAAGCAGAACAGCTAGGCTTTTGCTGCAGTATCATAGTAGCAACCTACTTTTTTTTAGCAAGACTTAAATTCCTTTAAATTCTGTAAATCGTAGGGTAGATTACAATGCCTTGAAGCAGTAGTAATCAGTTTTCTCATGAAGCCTATTAAGTATTACTACTTAGTACTACATCTTATGACAAAGTTGCAAACAAAAGCCTATAACCTATATAAAGTGTTTTTAACCATGTATTTTTAAGAGAGGTACTGCTGCATAGGAAATAGTAAACTTGTACTTCAACTTCAGTAGATGTAAAGCTTTAAGGTACAAGTTTAGGGCACAAGCTAGGTTACCTGTTGCTGCTAACAGCAGCTTACAGAAAATGTCTCAAATTGGAACAGACCTTATACAAGTGCTACTTTAGTTGGCCTAGTACATCTTAACCCCTAATGACCAGAGAATACTTCTCACAAAACTTCTTACCAAAAGACTGCTGCATCAGCGTGATGGGATTTTCAATCCAAGTAATTTAGTAACTTAAATTACTTGGAAAGAAAAAGCCAAATGACACTCTTGACCTTGCATTATTGATCTTGTACTTCACAAAAATTTGAAAAGCATATGCAGATTTAAGACAGCTTTCATTTATCAAGTAACATTAAATTAAAACTAGCTAGCTTTTCAAGTTACTTGCATTTTCAGTCTCAGAGCATAAATAACAGCAGCTATTCTACTATCAGTTTAATACTTGAGCAGACTCCTTCCCCAGTTTCCATAACACCTGAATGGTGCTCTAACTATAGGCTTTAGAAGGAAGATGCTAATAACTTCAATTTTGGTAGTCACAGAGCAATTGCCTATGCAACTTTTGAAGCAAGAAGAGGCTCATAACTTGGATTATTATGGAAGAAATGGGACCATCTTTCCTCAGAAAAGCATTCTTACAAGCATAAAACAGGTGTGGTACTTCAACTACTGATGGCTGGTGGTATGAGGCCAGTATTCTGGGAAGATTCAGTGGTCTTGAAAGGAGAGAGGACTGCTCTGCATTTACAGCACACATACTTCATTTCTGCCATGCAAAGATAAGCCTTTAGCTTTTTCTAGACATAAAGACAGACTTTCCCTTACCAAAACCAGCATGCATCAGTAGAAGTTGTATCCAACTTCTAGAAAGTCTTGCACAGTCAAAAAAGCACAAACAGGAACCAAAGTTCCCTACCTTCATACAGGTTGACTAGTTATTCACAAACAGGTTTAGACACAAAGACAGTGAGTGCCAGATTAATACTTACATTTGCTGTGAAATGGCAACTATCATTTACATTCTCTCTGGAAGTAAGGCCTGTAGTTCAGATATGCATATGACATACAGAGTTAGACCCACAGTCAAAAATAGCATAAGTAAAGCCTAACACACTTCACAAACTCAAGCAAGTGTATCAGAAAAAGCAGTATTTATTGTTTAAATGCACAAAATGCTATTTATAATGTATTACATCATTAATCCAGTGATTTAAGTTTAAAATATACAATTAATTGGTACAGAATGCTGGCAGGGTTTGGGGCTTTTTTTCCAGAATCACAGTGGTTCTATTTTGATGTTTTTGTCTCTGATGGATTTTCCCCAGTGTCTAGTGTCTTCAGCAATCTGAAAAGACCAGCCGCTTCTCGTATCCGACTGAACTCGATGCAGAATGCTTGCACTTCTATAAACAAGTCCTGTACATTAATAATTTTGTTTCTGATTAAAGACTGAAGAAAGACACAGACAAGACGTACCAGGCGGTTCTGAAACAGAAGAGAGATCGTTTCACAATCCAAATAGATGTTTGCAACCAAGTCAGTTAAAGGACTGTTGGCCCCCAGCAGTACAACAGGCATTTTAGGAGCAATTTAGCTTCAGCAGTAATCCTGTTCCCCAGCTTTGTATGTGATGTCCTTACTCTTCCATCTCCCATACTACTACCATATTTTAAAAATGGACTCTGCTTTATAGGAATGTACTTCTGGATACAGGAGCTTTCTCAAGATAATTCCCATGCACAAATGAAGTACCACATCTACCTATGCACTATACTTAAATTCCTTTATTATGTAATTTCTGAATAGGCAGAGAGAAGGGATCTTAGTTTAAGACGGTATCACCACTATGGTCCGGCTTAGTCTTATTTTCTGTAATAACACCATAAAGAAAAATGAAGAGACTTCACATCTCAAAATTCCACAGCAGCACATGAAGGCACTCCAGATGGGAAGTGACAGCAGCAGAACTGATCCCAAATTTGTTTGGTGGGAAGTGCTTTGTTATTGAATTAGCACCTGGCCCTCTTGCTCCATTTTAGAAGAAAAGACAGTACCAGGGACACCTAATCCAAGAACATGCCTCAGAGCTCATGGCTCAATTTCCTTCCCGATCCAGTGCAAAGATGGAATCTCAGAACTGTTCCTCCTTCTCATGCTGGGAGTTGGGACGTGGAGACCTAGGAACTGGCACCTACAGTTTGTCATACACAGATCCATTCACTAACCACCTGCTTTATACAGAGTACATTTTTCATCAAGGACAAAACCAGATCTTTATCATTAAAGTGGTCTCACACTTCACATATTGTGAGAAAGAGTTGAACCCAAACCTTTCCCTAAAAGCTACTATATACATGAACAATGTTTATCAGACAGAACTGAGGAGACTTGAGATAAAGTGTCCAAAGTACTTTAGATTATTTGACACTGCAAATAAGCTATCAGCTATTTGTACAGGAACTGAGCTTACTATTGCAAAATCTGATACCTATACCAAGAAAATTCAGAAACTGAACAACTTATTTCCTTCTCTGCAACACAAAGTTGCAAGAGTAACTTTTGAGGAACATGAAACTCGGAACAAAAGTACAAATGCAAGATAATGGCTGACACCCAATTTCTGAGGATCATGCCTCTTCCAATAGGAGTGGTTTTGTACCATACTTTTCAAACAAAACATCTTGTGTCTTAGTTGCTGTGAGGCCTCATACACAGTATTAACAAAAGTTAGATCTCACAAGCTTTGCACGCTACTTGGTGATTGATACACGTTCCTTGACACTGTTCTTTTTTGTCCTGTGTCCCTGAAGCACAGCTGCTATATGCTCTCAGCAGCCCCTCTGAGCACAGTGTCCCACCCTGTAGGCACACTCTTAGCTGCAGCCCAGGTCTGCTGCTATTTTCCTATTCTACCAAATGTATAGGCACAGCTACTCAGCAGGTCACAGACAAGCCACCCATGTGTATCTGGCAGAGTACAGAAGCAGAAACAGCAGCAGCTACCAAAAGAACAAATGGTTAGTCATCATCCAGAAGGGTACTGAGAACAAGACATAGGGGTTTTTGCTGTTATCTAAAAACCACATGCACCCATATTCTGTGTACTACATGCAATTGTCATCTCTGGAGCTTAAGGATATAGTAGAGCTACAGAAGGCACTGAAGGAGGACACCAAAAAAGCTTAAGGGAAAGGAACAGCTACCTTGTTGAAAGAGACTAAAGAGGTTACAGTCACTCCATGCTGAGAGGAAAAAGCTGAGGCAGAACTTGGTCAAGATTCACAGAGCCTTGGGTAAACTGAACATGGAACTTTTTCCCCAATGACATATCCAAGAAAACAAGTTCTACTGGGCACTTGGTGAAACCAACAGATTGGTTTAGGATAGAAGGAAATACCTTGCACAGCATGTAGACAACCATACATGCCAAAGGTGTGGAAACCTCCCCAGGGGATAAAGATCCTTGAAGACTACAACTTGCATGCTGGTACTGAGGAATTACGACAGGCTTGGGAAGCAGAGTACAGTGTTGAGAAGACAAGGATTTTAGGTTTTTGAGGAGATCTGCAAACTGTTGTAGGTCGTGATTGGAGAGCAAGACTTTAACATGAGTTTTGTTAACGTCACTTCAAAGGTCTGGAAGTGGTAGGCATACTTGTACAGGAAAAAAAACTTGAAGCTTAAAACTAAGCAGAAGGCCAACAACTAATACTGGGGACAAAGAGAAGGACACTGTGTGACAGATAAACCTTGTGCATGTTAAGGACCCAAGTCACATAAAACTGCAGTTTTACCAAGGATAAGTTTATTATGTCTACAGAAAAACAGGGAATGGTAATGACCTGTGAAGTCTTGTAAAAAGGTGAATAAACCTCTGTTAAACACTATAAAGAACTGCACAGTGTAGAAAAAAAACCCACAAGCTTTTGAAATAAAGAAGCAGTAAGACAGAATAATGATATCAGCTTTATCTCAACACGTACAGAGCAATACATGGGACTCTTTCTCCTAACCAATTTACTTAAGTACTCACCTGCATATATTTGTCTTTAATCTGTTCACAGGTGGAGATACAATTGGAGATATAAAGATGAATAAATTCAGGTGGGAGATCAACTGCAGTAGTAAGCCTGTTCAAATTAAAAATATCCAGTGGTTTATGAAGCCATACATCTAGTGATCCCATTGCAAAACAGTTGAGTTAAACCAGCTTTTTATGACATGACTGGCAGTGACCTAATATCACAGGTCTCTGATCATTTAAATTTCTTCATTAACTTTTTTTAACTCTGACACAGTACAGAAGCTGAGTTAGATTGGTTTACAGTGTATCTGACACACCTACAAACATTTGCTATGTATTACACAAATGAGTCAATACTAGTTTTCAATTTACAGTGAGGCCTCCAAGCTGTCGAAGTACCAAGATTCTTCTGCAATAAGCACTGCGATACAATTTTGCTTATCCATATTTGAATTTTAGGTACTGAACCTAAATATCAAACTCCTTCCTTAAGTATACAAGCAGAGGAGCTCCTTTGTTGTGACAAAAGATCAGATTCCCTAGTTCCTTCTGATCCAAATTTTAGTCCTAGGAACTGAAACAATATGAATATCTACAGATCACATAAAAGAGACCCTGATTAGATGAAAATGTTAAATAGAGATTAATGAGGCATGATACTCTCAGAAGCTTCATACTACAGAAGAACTAGAGAACTACTGCATCAAAGAATGAATGGTTTTAGTGTATTTTTAAGGGTTAACAGCAAAGCACACCTATTCATGGTTTAACAATACTGACTACTAAAGTATTTGAGCTGCCACTGTTATTGTTTTAATTAATTGAAAAAGCAATACAGCTCTCAAGGGAACAACATACTCTAAATGTAGAGCTGCCATAAAGTTACAACAGAATTTGACCAAAGTAACTCTAACCAGTCCTATTTCTAGTAGTGAAGGTGAGGGACAACAGGAAAAACAGTGCATGTTTTAGACATTTCAGTTTCAAGTTTTTGTGTTATTTCACCTAAAAATCAGTGTCTCCCTGTTTGCACTGACAGTCATTTTACAGTTTGGGAACAGCTGTTCCTATGGTAGTTAGCTGTGGAAGAACCATCATGCCTGACTGGTAGTACAGCAATCCTGGACAGTAATAAAACTCTCTTCTTACCACTAGTTCTCTGTGACCAACTTCAGGGCAGTTACTGCTGTCAGTCTGCACCAGTAGGAAGAGATTTATTGCAGAAATGTTTCTTTCCTCAAATGATATTTAAGGTGTAATTCAACTCTGCTGCCGAACAGGGCTGATTTGGTTGTTCACATTCAGTAATTGCCAAGAAACAGAAGTAAGTGGGAGAGATGCACTTTTGTAGTTTGTGGGGATTAGCTTGTCTGAGAAGTTTTCCCACTGAAGGGGCTAGCATTCCTGTTAAGAAAATGGGTTGTACCTATACGCAGAGGCTATTCCCAATGAAGAGAGGGCATAAACACAAAGCAGGATGGCTATTTAACAATACCACCTTTTGTTCACTTAATCCACATCAAGAATGCAAGTTGCATTTAAGCAGATTAGGGTGGCGTTAACTTTTTATGGAGGATTCTCACAATAACTGCCCTTTGTCCCACTGTAGTCTTCTGTCTTCCACACAAGTATACCCCAAGAAGGATCAAAATTAACATTTCCAGATGTCCTAATAAAACATAACTGTCACCTCAGATGAAAAAGAAGACAGAACCTAGAGATGAGGCTAATTTTTAGGTATGAGAAAAGGATGGGAATTCTTCCATCAGGAACAACTGGACTATGACCCATTAGAGGGAGTCACTAGATTAGAAGGACAGTCACTACAGTGACAAAACCATACTTGCAGCTTCCTGGGACATAGGACATGTACTTGCTAGTGAAATTTATGTATTAATCAGAAACCTGATGTCTCAATAAAAGTTTAGACATATTATAGATTGCAGCAACAGACTCCCTTAAATGATAACCATTTTAAATATTGCTTTGATCTGAACATATCAGTTTGATAAAATGATTTTCTAGTAATTATCAACTCCAGTTGAAGTTACCCACAACACAATATTTCCCCACTTTTCCAAGTAGAAACACTTTGCTAATATTAAGAGTAACACAGTGTTTTCTTTGAAGAAGCCTCTCCATTTTTGAAGCAGGGATTGAAAGATTAACTAGCGTAGCGCCTGTGCAAAAAATGTGCTTTTTACCATATCTAGTATGATAAAATATGGTATGTTATACATAATTAATCTAAAATGATCATTTTCATTAAAAGCAAAAATTTAATTATATAACATTATAAATAATGTAAAATTTAATATATATGCCTCCACCATCACATCCTTCTGCTGGGAAACTGTTGGGTTTTTTCCTGTTAAGTTGCACTTTTGGTACTGCAAACAGGAAGCTGTTAAAATTACAGTAATATTTTAAAATAGCACTGCTGTAAAAAGGAACTTCAAAATTGGCAGTACTCTCTGAACTTCACACCAAAGATGTTCAAGAGGTGCAATTCTTTATTATCAATCCACAGCTAACTTTACAAACTTAGTCTGGACTAAAATAAGAAGTTTTTTTCTTTAACTACAGGCACCACCAACAAGGAACTACACAAAAAGCAAGTGAAACTGTTACGAAAGAAACAGACTTAAGACAGTCCAGTAGTCATAGAAAGCAACAATCCATAGCACCCTCTTCCTCTGCAAGATTAATCAGAGCACACTGTCTTACTATTAAAAGAGTATCAGAAAAGCAAAACACAACCAGCATAGAGAAATTGAAAAAAGAATGATAATTTGATACTCTTTTCCTTCACTGTAATCTGACTAGTCATTTATTCAATTCCTGTTACTTCTGGTAGTCTTTGGAATGCATCCAAATACAGCCCTGTGGCCAGCCTCACAATCACTTAATAAGTGTTCAGTTATTTACTTACATACTTAAGGAAACATTCTTAGATTTGAGATAGCACTCACCGATTTACGACTTCCATTGAATGTAAGGACATGTCCATGTTGACCAAGACAGAAAAATACTCTGTTATTTGACTAGATTGCATCAGTTTCAGCAACATTTCTATAGCTACTAAAGGATTATTTTCAACCAGGTCTGGCAGTTTGGCAGGAGTGAGACCAATATGGTAAACAAGCTTGGGGTCCTTTTCCAGTTCTCCAAGGAGCTGTAAAGAAAAAAAAGATGATTCAAGGTTTGGGGTTCCCCCCCACCCCACATTACTGCTTGAAGAAACTGCTGTAATACATCTAAGCTACAGGAGAATGAAAACCCTTTAGATTTAGGCATCTCTATTGAAAGCCACTGGAGGTATACTTTAAAATCTGTATGTAAAGGCAGCTGTGCCCATAAAATGTGCTTTGATAAGGCATTTAGTGGTCTTTCATCAGTGGGTGGCAAGGGAGGTAGAAAAAACGTGAAAAGTTTCAGCCTTCTTCAGCTTCCTGTCATCCTGTCCAGTGGAAAGAAACCTCAATTTTGAGTTCAGTCACAAAAAGCTATGTAAATAAATTATATTTTATAGCACTAGCATAATGATTATTAAAAATTCCCACTGAAATCAGGGGTAATGCTATCAGACCAAAGGGGAAAAAAAAAAATAGTTCAGTGTTGGCATTTCTGAAATAATTACTTATCAAAAGCTTCTACATAAGCACGGACAACTTCATTATAACATTTTTCCATGCAGAAAATCATTGGTGCCACTTATTGATCAACTGTAACTATGTCCAATCCATGCTATAAAGATTTCTTCCTTATTCATACAAACCCAAGTCAAAACTCTTGCGTTTTACAGTTTAAAGTCCTTGCAGTTTCCTGAATCCAAACACAGATCAATTAAAGTGATAAAAGTTTTCTAAAATACATGAGTTAATAGCTTGTTATATAATCATTTTAGAGAGAAAAGTGCATGATACTTACCTGTGTTTGCTGGGGGGAAGTCAAGGGGCTTTTAAAAGCTTTTGCCATGATTCTTTTTATCTCAACTCCAGTGCTGTTCTTAACACACATTGATTTATCCCACTGAATTGTGTGATCTGGCTCTATTGGATTTAACCATGCCAACTCATCCTCACATATATGGAGTGGAGGTGGTGGTCGAATAAACTCTGGTCGAAAGTGACCTAAAATGGCAACAACGTGAAATATTTTTTAAGCTTCAGGTATACAGTTTTACACCAGTACAAAAAGAAGACTCCGAAGCCCCCAATACTTTAAGCTATTATAATACCAAAACCAGCATTATGATCTTATTTGCCTCCCAGAAAAACATTCATTTCTGGTTTTTAGCGATGCTGTTACAAGCCTGTTTTTCCTCGATTTAGATCACTAAGTTACTGATTGTATGGTCTGGTTTCCTTCCACAGGAACTGCTTCCTTAGAAGGTGTTCACAGTCAATGCAAACCTTAGTGTAGGGGACTAAGATCTGAAGGGCATCAGAGCCGGTGTTTTCACCAAGAGATGACATGGGTAACAGCTTGAAGACAGCTCCAGTTTTTTTAGAAGTTCGGAAACATGAACACTAGAGTCTGACCTGGAGACTGCCTGACAGTTTTTCACTGTGTCATTCATTTTCATTCCCATTTCATACCTTGAAAATACTTCTGAATTACATTACATTTCATCAGGAGAAGTGTATTAACATAGCATGTCATGAGTTACAGAAACAAAGATGTGAAAATACACATACTTTCTATAGGAGGTTTTGGTCCACTCACTAGGGCTTCCGTGATCTGGGAGGCAACGGAACTGTCAAAACCAGAGTTGGAAGAATCTGGGTCAGGATCACTGAGAATGCTGGGGAAGCTGGCCTTGCTCTGCGTTGGCAACTCAGACTGACGTTCTGAAAGAAGAACAGTCCATAATATTAAAGCATAAAATTGAAACAGAGATGCCTGGAATACTAAAAGTAATGAGAAACAAGCAGCTTTAGACAAGAACTAGCTTTAAAAACACCAGATAACGTCAACATGAAATTTAGTACCGTGTCAGGCAGCTAGTACTCAAGGGTGCTGGCTGACAGACCAGGGACAGAGGTATGCAGCAAGGATAAAGAAGAAAAAGAAATTAAACTGAAACATAGTCTTGGCTTTATAAAAGGTAACTGATGTAATCTGTGTCTAAAAGCATGTTAGTAGGTTCCCATGGTACTCCTGAAAGAGTTCACATGCTGTATCTAGTTTTGCAATCACTTCTTCTCACAGTAGGGAAGTGAAAAAAATCTACACAGATACATTTACAGACTGCAGTTGATAATGGTCATACTAGACCTGAAGTCAGCTATTCAAATTCATCCAAAACATTTCAGTGGAATTGTGTAAGCTACTTTTGCATTCACTGTCAAGCTACAGTAAGTACTTGTATGGAAAAAGATATTTAAATGTTATATAATTCTGTGTACATCCTCATTAAAGCAAACCTGAGAGAAGCAGAAAGAGTCCCTTTCAAGGCCAAGTTACAGGACATAAACAAGTTACATAATATTATGGTTAGTATGTACAACTGAAGACTTGATGAAACTGGCCAAAAATAAACTGTGGGGCTCGACACTTGCACTGTCAGATTTTTAGGTGTTCTTCTGTCACAATCTATCATTCTTCTCTGCCTGAAGACTTAATGGCTGATCTTCTATATTCTCTGTACTATTAAGAGATCATGTTTTCCATTGCTGTGGTAAAAAATCCCCATCAGACAAAAAACAGAAGAAAACCACTACAGAACACCACCTGACACTCCTTCCCCCACCCACTTAACAGAGAACATTAAGAAGCAGATTAAGCCTTAAGTAATCTGAAATCCAAAATTGTTGGTACCACACAAGCAATCCCTTGAAAAAGTTCGACGTGAAACTAAACACCATTCCTTTTCCTGACCAATTAAGCATAGTGCTGTCAAATTTAGTGTATTGTCCCTATCGGTTCTAAAGTGTGCTTGCTCTTTTTTGTGCAACCATGTTGACCCTTTTCAGCCTCCCATGAATATGAACTACTTCATATAACTCCAAATCCATGAGATACTGAAACTGTGAGTGATAGAAGGATAATCCAAACAAAGCACCACCCACTGCTAATTTCTTTTTTGGCTCTGTCCTATTTCATCCAATTATTTCAGATCACACAACCATTTGCATATATGCTCACTGAAGTAGCATAGCAGGATATGTTTTTCTGTTAAAAACAACTAGCATACTTCTCAGTTATTTGCAAAATAACAAGTCTAAAGCCAAAGTCCAAATCAGCTGGTTTATAAAACATGTCTTCTACTTTACAAACTGTTTCAAACTCCATCTTGTGAGTACCTTCATTTAGCCACTGAACTGAAGGGTTGATTTAACAAATTAAGTTGGGGGGGAAGGTATTGGGTCTTTTTTCAGTCTTTTTATTTACAGTCTAGAACTTAAATCCATCAGTTGGTAAAAGTAAGTCACTGATTTGTTTGTATCCTCAATTTCAAATGACTAATGATGCTTAATCAGAAATATAGAAGTTTAAGAGTCAGTCCTTCAATTCACTGATTTTAGAAACCTGCATGAGACTTTGAGTACACACATTGAAGCTCAAAAGCTCACCCACCCTCACTGCTTCAAGAATTATGGCTGGATCAACAGTTTCAGGTAAGCAGAAGCCACAATTAGAACATGATGATTTAACACGAAAGAATAGAATACCTTGAACTAAGACATTTAAATTTTTTAAAAAGCAATCTGAAAACAATCACTTAGGTTCCTCTATGGAGAGATTTTTTTTTTTTCTTCTTACAGGTAAGAAGAAACTCTGTGATTCTTAAAGGAAAGCTCTACAATGTATTACAAACTTAACTTTCATACAGGTCAATTACTCTTAAATCAAATAAGGGTTAGCAGACAAAACTGTTAGGAGCACTTTGCCATAAGATGCATCCCTGTAACTAGTCAAAAATTACATTTTTGATACGATAACAACACTATCAAAAACACCACCAGATCAACAAAACCAAGTTACAGGGAGAGACGAAGGCTCAAATGAACTTTCTGTAGACCAAAGAGAGAAGAGAATAAGACTCAGTTTTAATACTCATTCCCAAGATGCTCTGTTCCAATTTACTTTTTTGGTTTGGTTTTTTTTTTTTTGAGCAGGGCTGACAGGGGATGGGGGGGGACAGGGGACAGTCACAGACAACACCAACAGAACAAAAAAACAAAAAAGAAAATCAAAACTAGAAAAACCACTACACAGCTGCAAGTGAGTTGTCACAATGAACTCTCAAATTCAGAAGACAAGCCAAATATTTTTTGCTTCCCTTTACAAAAAAGAAGGATCAGGATAGCTATACTGACTGAAAGAAAATAATGCTTTCTAAATTAAGTTGATTAAAGCAAGTCAAAATCATCCTGCTCTAAATAGCCCTGAATTTGTCTCAGGGACCACAATTTTAAAGGGCCACCAAATCTTACAGCTGTTACATTCTGTGAAATGCTGGGGGGCAAGAGCTGTAAACCAAACACCCCAAATACTGTATCTAATCACCATCACCCTGCACCACCTTTATTCTGCATATTGTATCAATAGGAGAAATATACTGAAGACCTGTGAAAAACTCACAGACCTTCCAAAACACAGACAGACAGACAGGAGGCATCACAATATTAAAACAAGCCAAAGATTTATCTTCTAAGAATAGAAAGCAGACTTTTATTCTAGGGAGCTACAGCAAGAAGTCTGAGAAAGACAGCATAAAGCTTTTTCAAATGCAGCTTGTTTTGTTACATAACTCCTACAACTGCTCAAAAGCAATTAATTATGCATGTTTACTGGATTATGTAAAAAACGATACAAGCACATCTTACAGGGCTTAATTTTGCAAAGCACCATTAATGACTTTGTACTGTACTTTTAAGTCATCACTGCCTTCTCTTTCAAAAAAAAGAAAAAAAAAGGACAAAATAAAACACGTGGCCTAGAGTACCCGTCCACACAACTACAGTTTTGAGGTTCTCTGCATGTTTCATTTTTAATGAGAACAAACTGTTCAGAAGGTAAACACAGTGCCAAGGGGAAAACAAGTAAAAACAAATGACAAAGCTCCAGGCTTCTCTGAGTCATCACATATGACTTGTGTTAAAAAATCACAAGTTACCTTAAGTTTCACAAAATCTGAATTCATTAATGTATTCTAGAAAACACAGACAGGGAGAACAGAAGAACCAGAAGGGTTTGTCTCATCTGTGACTGTATGTTAAGGTATTCAATTTGCATTTGCAAAAGATCCCAGTCTGGAAACAGTAGCTGAGGAGGACACCAGAGGACATTTATACTGTCCCTCGTTCACAGTGTACATCACAGCATAACAAGTCCATGCCAGATTCTGCGGAAAAAGTGACAATACCAAGATACAATTGCAGGATGGAGAAAGCCTAATTAGTGCCTGACTTCAGAGCAATAAACCACATTGTACATATATAGAAGAGGGATGGTCAGTTTTCAAGCAAGTGAGTCCATTTGCACACACCTAGGAAAAAAACACGATTTTTTTGGTGTTCAAACAGGGTCCTTGTTTCCAACAATATTTTCTATTTCAGATTAGCTCCAGATATGACTCATCAGTCAGCGTGATGAGAACAATCACAATCTTGCTCCTTTTCTCCTGTCAGAGGACAAGCATCACATTGCTTTTCTTTTCAATCTAGTAAAAGTAGACCACCTTCCCACTCTTGAGCTAACGCTGTAAGATCTGACTTTATTTTAAAAAACTGAAGATGTAATTGTAATAGCCAATTTGCCAGGTACAGCTGAAATTACAGTATATGACAGCATTGCAGTTATGCCTGTTTTCTCATACTAGGAATACTGTAAAGAGTGAAAAGGGATAAAAATACACCAATAAAAAAAAAAATCACTCCAAAAAAAGGACCACAACACTTTAGATTAAATTCTTTCTACACTTGCAAAATGTCCTCATGTTTATGACAGTGACATATATGCTTAAAAAGCTGCTTCTTAAGTAGAATAAAACAGTTAAAACATAACCTCTGCTTGAAATTTCTCTATGTGCTTGAACATGGGATTGAAGACCCTAAAGCATAGTTCAACTTCTTTCATATTTAGGATAGATAAGAGTTTCTTGGGTAACTCATAGCCACATTACAATTGTAATTTCCATTCATAAGTGAACCACAGCCGCAAACCTTCCTTACCTGCTAATGCCAGCTGAAGCCCACTTATATCCACTGACTGGGCCATGTTCCCCACGTCCATGGAAGCAATCTGCCGAGGAGTCTTCTTGAACAGTTCTCTAGGGGGGGCCAACATCAGTTGAGAAAGAAAGAATTTTTCTGGAGGAGTTATGGGAGGTAAGAAGCCTATGAAGACAATGAAAAACAACAGGATTTTTAAGGCAGTAGCATTAACAGTTTCCATATGCTTCACACAGAACAAGCAAAACTCTAATATAAACTACTGTTTTATGGCAAGATGAGCACAGCTGAAGAGTCTTTGTGCATACATACAGAATTCTGTTATCTACTCAGCTCCTAAAGTAATGTATAATTTAGGGGGTTGGACCAGATGATCTTTAAAGGTCCCTTCCAACACAAACCGTGCGACTCTGTGAAAATACAGCATTACACTGATCGGCATCACGCATCTTGACATGCGACATCTGATGCTAAGTCAGTCACAGTTGTTTCTTTACACGCTTTCCAATTTAGACAACTAGCGACCTATTAAGTATGACCAGCCGTTGCAATTCATACTGTAACTTACAGAAGCAATTTTTTTAGAAACAGATTTACTGTTTCTAAATTGCTAAATCCATTGCTTATTTACAAAGACGCGAAAAAATACTTCACGGTTCAGTTTTAAGAGGTTCGTTTCACAGCTTTAAATCTGTCAAAAGCCTCCTACTACCTCCGGGTTTTCGTAACGGCTTTCTCCCCAGAATTCCGTGTTGTGGTCCAACCAAGAGGCCTATCTAACATCAAACCTAAAGATACTCGCCATGAAAAACTCCCACCGCTTTTTCCAGACGCGGAAAGCGAAACCGACGGGCTGGAAGCCTCGATCGGGCTGCAGTAAGGAAGCCAAGCCGCTGAAGTATGCCTCCGCCGGTTCCTCCCCTACCAAGAGGGCTCCTCTGTCTGTGTGTCCGTCCCCGTCCCCCCCTCCGGCCCGGCCCGGCGGCGGGACGCACCTGAGAGCGGGGTGCGCTCGGCCTCGTCGCCGCCGCGCTCGGGCGCGGGGTTGAGGAGGTGGGCGAAGACGGCGGCGAAGGGGTTGGCGGCGAGGGGCTCGGTGCGGTACATCTCCCAGAGGAGGTAGAGCG